CAATACACAGGTATAGCTTCATATCATGGTGGTAAACATTATTATTATAAACGGTTGGCACAAGGTTTAAACGTTTCACCAGGTATTTTTCAGGCTAAAATTGACGAAATTTTGAATGATATTCCAAATTCTAAGGACTTCTGTATTGCTCACCACGATGATATTATTTTATTTAGTACCGATAAGACATCACATAGAAATCATCTTACTTCAGTGTTACAAGCTCTCAAATTTAATGGCTTTAGAGTTTGCCCCAAGAAGTGTAAACTATTCAGAAATGATGTCCAATACATGGGACATAGAATTTTGATAAATAGCGCAGGACATGCTTGTATAACACCACTAGGTGATAGATGCGCAGCAGAAAATTGCCACGGCCTAAAACGGCCAAAGAAACGAAAAGATTTATTGGAGCAGTAAATTATGTATCAAATTTCTTTCCGAAAGTACAAGAAATATTAAGTCCTTTACACAAAATCACTAACAAAAGGCGCAATTTTGAATGGACTAACGTACACCAAAATGCCTTTGATAAAATTAAAGAACTAATGGTTAAGCCACCAATTCTTAAAATGCCGACTAAAAACGGTAGATTTAAAATATACAGTGATACATCTAGGACTGCAACAGGCTCATACTTAACACAAACCGTTAATGATGAAGAACACATAATTGGATATTATTCAAAAGTCCTCCCTGAAGCTTGCAAACGATACAGTGTAACAGAATTAGAACTATTTGGTCTTTACATTAACATATCAGCATTTAAGCATTTGTTAAAAGGATGCGAGTTTGATGCATTTGTTGATCACTCAGCCATTGTTCAGATTTGGAACTCTAAAGACCAACCTTGCACAAATCGCCTACAAAAACTAATACTAAGATTATCAGGCTCTGTTTTTAAAATTGGATACAAAAAGGGTACTGAATTAGTACTAGCTGACTTCCTATCTCGTGCACCAAGGGATGAGGATTCTGAAATTGATCAAATTGTACCAATTGCATTCACCTGTTCTGAAATTGATACCAACGATAGTTTTAATCCAACAACACAAACAATTTCAAGACCAGTAACTAGGTCATATGCTAGGAAAATGGGAATTAAAATACCAGACCTCTACAAACCCAAACAAACACAAATCAATGACACGAGTACTACACAGCACACGACAACAGCCACGCGACCTCAAACATCACCACAAACAGACACACAACACCAATCACCCACACCTCCACTCACTACACCTAGTACACTTCGACCATCAACTGACCCACTAATAGTACCACCATTATCAATTCCAGACAGACCTAAACAACAACCAACAGTACTTAGGGAACAGAGACTCGTGGATAAAGAAAATAATGATATAACTTATAGAGATGTACCAATTGAATTGTACACATCACCAAGCCCGTTGGTTCCAACTATTACTGAACTAAAAACAACACACATCCCGAAACAAAAGGAATTAGACAAATTGATGGACGTTATCCGTAGAAAAATAATCAGAGATTATAATTTGCCAGTTGATGTTAAACAATTACAAATTGAACAGGAAACGTCACCATTCTTTAAACCTGTCTACGATTATTTAGCTCATGATATTCTGCCAGCCGATAAGAAGGCAGCAAGAGCGATTCAAACCAAATCAGAACAGTACATACTTTGTAACGGTTTATTTCGTTTTTTCCTACAAAACAAAGGTGATGATTTCATATTACAATTAGCAATACCAGAAAC